TATTTCGAGATATACAAATTAAATAATAATCCATTAAATAATAAAAAAAGAAATTGAGAAGTCTGCGAAGAAATGCATCTAGAATATAAAAGAGTTTTATACACACACATACGAACGCGCGCGCACATATATATACGCACACAACTAATTTTCTATATAACACATATATAATTTGTATATATAAGAATATATATAAAATATAAAATAAGATTTATTTTATAAAATCTTTAACACACTTTTGGGAGAAATACGAATTTCTTTCATAATTTTATTCGTTATTTTTAACTATTCATTTTTATTCAAAAAATAACCAAGATTTTATATGTAATTTTAATATTTTTTATGTGATATGCATATTTTACGAATCAAATATATATGTGTATGTTTATCACCTTTATGAATAAAAAATTTTTAATGTATTATAAACAAAAGATAAAATTTATAGTTATCAATAATTTTTGTAACTTTTTACACATTAAATCATATATCTCAGTTTTAATTTTGCTTTATCATATAACATTTAAAATATAATAAATTTGTGTGTGTATGTGTATTTCGATATTCCTTATCAAGCGTGTTATGCAAATAGATTCCAACTTTTTCACTCAATACTACATTTCTCACAAAATGTCATCAAAATCACCTCACTGCAAATTATTCAGAATTTTTCGCCTTGATGCGTATTGGTAAAACAAAGTGCGAATTGTAAATCGCAACAACGGTGAAAACGTACTCGAAGAAAGGAAATGATTGAACGATCACGCGATGAACGAAACGTTTGCCACTTCAGTCAGGCGAGCACTTTGATCGTCGAAAGGCAGAGAATTTCTCCAGCGGTACTGCGGCCACGATTCAGAGAATTGTTCTGAACGTGGCGATACTGCTAGGAGAGCGGTGGCCTGTCTGCCTGCCTGCCTACCTACCTTCTTACTCGTGGATGCACTTTCACGTCATTACCGGTTCTCCACGACGTCCATGCGTACAGTTATGGACTAGTTCGGAGCAAGGACGCCTATCCCTCATCTCTCCCTGATTACCCCTCTCTATCCTGAGAATCTTCCTGTGCTTATTCATGTCTTTTTGTTTTCTCCCAGACTTCTTTTTTAACTGATGATTTTGCTTGCCTTTTTTTGATTTTTTATTATTTTTTCTTATTTTGTACTTTTTTAACTGTTTGCTGCATTTTTGTTTATCTCTTCCTTTTCCCATTTATAGCTCTAATTTTTTTTATCTTTATATTTCTTTCTTTCTAACTTTTTCTAAAACTTTGTTAGTTTTCTGTTTATTTTAACGTACTCGGGCTCACATATTTTTTCATTTCTATTTTTTATTTACAGCTACTTATTTCAATATTATCAATTAATGCTTATTTTCTTTCAATGCACAATTTTATTTCTTAACATTCTTATTTATATTTTTCCTTTATCTGTTGCTTTTTTTCATTAATCTATTTGTTTCTCGTTATCTTGTCTATAAAATATTCTGCAATCTTTTCTAATTACGCTACATATATTACAGATGACATTTATAATGTTTGTAGTGTTATGTCGGAAGTACGCAAATATTGGGTACACAAATATCTTGCTAAGATATTTAAAGAGACAACTATGTTGTGCGATGTCGTAATAAAATCAGCCAAAGAGTTTGCGGCAATTTACTCCCACGATCTTAAACTAGGTGCGACGTGTAATTGTTCTGGAACGGTATTATGGATGCACTTCCATGTCCATGAATTATCGTCAGAATGTTGCCACATACATGTGTAAAAATGGATATGTATTTAAAGTATTGTTTTTCAGATTTTCTAATGGGTTCTACAAACGATGAATTCCATCATTAATATTAAAAGTCTTATTATATACGAAACTGTATGTCGAATTCTTTTTCGAAATATTTTGATAAATAAATCTTGATAGATAAATCTTTTTATCTTTTCATACAACACATAAAATCAATTTATTAAATATAAATACTATAAGTAAAAATTCTTTATTTCTATACAAAACTTTACTTATGTATATTTTAATATGTTTTTTGAAATGATAAATAATTTTTAACATATGAATAAGATTCTAGACAAATAATATCTACCTTGCGTAGAAAAACAACTCTTATTTATAAAAGCATTTCTGATATAATACTTTAAACAACATTTTTTTGTTAGCGCAAATTGTTATATTTTAAAGGTAATGAGGCTAATTTTAATTTCAATACATTGAAATATGCATATGTTCTCTTTTAAATCATTCAATAAAATAAGATATGTTAAATTAGGCAAAACTTATATATATATTCCTAAAATATATACTGAAACAAATTATTTTTTTCACATCATTGTTACATTATTCAATATTATATATTAGGTAAACTTAATTCCTGCCGCTCGCTACTAGATGATGAGAGTGAGGCCGGTTCTAACGCTGGCGAGTTTCGACAGTGAAGTCGCATGTCTTTTGTAGTTTAGATATTGTTAAAAGTGATTCAGTCCTCACAGTTTAGATTTCTCGACGCCAAAAAGATTTTCCAATCGATTGAAAATGAACCGCGATAAGCTGTTTTTTCGACATTTACTTCTTTACTTCGACCTCAAGAAAACCGTAGCTGAAACGCATCGCTTATTAGCCGAAGTGTATGGTGATGAAACTCCATCGGAAAGAACATGTAGAGTTTGGTTTGAACGCTTTCAAAATGGTGATTTTGACGTGAGAGACAAAGAACGTCCTGGACAACCGAAAAAATTTGAAGATGTTCAGCTGCAAGAATTGCTCGATGAGAATCCAGCTCAAACGCTTTTAGAGTTGTCGAAAGCGTTAAACGTTACTCCAATGGCCGTCTCAAAACGCTTGCACGCCATGGGAAAAATTCATAAGGAAGGGATATGGTTACCACATGACTTGTCAGAAAATGCCATTTTGAATCGTTTGTCCATCGCGACTTCTTTGCTTCTCAGGCAAAGAAAAAAAGAGTTTTTTGTGGCGTATCATGACTGGCGATGAAAAATGGATTTATTTTGATAATCCCAAGCGGAGGAAATCATGTGTGGACCCTAGCCAACCATCCACTTCAACGCCGAAAAGGAATATTCATGGGCATAAGACCTTGCTCTGCATTTGGTGGGACCAGAAGGGTGTGCTGTATTACGAGCTCTTGCGTCCAAATGAAACCTTTACAGCTGATCACTACAAACAGCAATTATGCCGATTGAGTAACGAATTGATGCAAAAAAGACCATCCGTAGCCAACAATCGACGTAAAATCATTCTTTTGCATGATAAAGCTCAACCGCATATTACCAAAAACATGAAACAGACACTTCTAGAGCTTGAATGGGAAGTTCTCCCACATCCAGCGTACTCTCCAGACTTGGCACCGACTGATTATCATCTCTTCCGGTCGATGCAACACGCACTTACGGACACACATTTCTCCAGTTATGAAGAAGTTCAAAAATGGGTGAATGAATGAATCACCTCGAAAGACACCGCGTTCTATCGTCGTGAGATTGTCCTGTTGCCGGAGAGATGGGAAAAAGTAATAGAAAATGAAGGAAATTACTTTGATTAATTTTATTTATCTTCTCTTCGAAACAAATTAATTTTGGAGACGAAAAATCGGCAGGAATTAAGTTTACCACCTAATACATACACAACACACACACACACACACACACACACACATCTAAAAAGTATAAAGCAAATTAACGTAAATTAATTTTTGATATAAAAATATTGAAAAATCTCAGAGTGTGTATTATAATTTATTGGTTTCTTCAAATGGACATATGATACTTGTCTTATTAAATATAAATTCACAATATTAATATTAGTATCTTAAAAATAATATATGTAGAACATATAACACGTATAAAATCTCTTTGTTTTCTTTCTCTGATACTTAATATTTCGTCTTCATATCCACATACATATTTGTCGATTATTCTGATTCGATTACAACGGTGATCCGTCGTTTCTAATAAAATACAAATACAAGAATGTAAATATACTCGCAAATAGAAATACAATAAATCTTATTTAGATAGAAATGTATTCATAAAAATTACATTTTAACTCATGCAACTTTATTGTTCAAATAATGCATTATCTAAAAAATTACCAAATAATTGACGAAAATTGCAAATGAATTTATCTACTATCTGTATATTACATAATTACATCTGTATATAAGAATGTATTATCTATATAGCATATATAAAATTATTTTTATCTCTACTTACGTATATATTTTATGCAATCATCTTCACTGTATCCTAATGTTAGAATATATTCAAGAGTTGAAATTACTAATACTACATATATTGATTAATCAACTAATATTGTATGGATTCTTTTCATGTCGTGTTAAGAAACAACCGTTAATATAAAATATAAATCTTCGGAGCATATAATCTACACACAAGTGCATATCATGCGAGTCGATCAACGATTGATTATCTGACCATACTCTATGCACATCAACATAACAGAAAACAAGGAATAATAACAAATTGTGCGTATCTAACATCACATGTGATCACATGTAATATTTTATTTTGAGAACTAACACAACTAGCGCTTGCCAAACTTGATAAGTAAAAGTCTTTCCCTACAAAATTCTTCCCATTGCATGAATATTAATATTAAAACAAAAGATTCTTAATCTTCACGTTTAATGGATCAATAATATTCGTGTATTTTATTCGCAAAAATTAATACTTAATGATTTCCTTCATAAATTGTTTCAATTGTTTTTTAAGATGAATTAAATGAATTAATTATTATTTAAAATCCATACAATTTTTTCCTATTTATGAACGTTAAGGACAAGAAATTTTATACAACGCGATATTATTTTAATGTACTATTAATATCTAAATTGAAATCATTTAAAAAGTAATGATTCTTCTACTTTCCAAAATGCAAGTTGTAATTATTATCAAAAATGATTGTTATATATGTGTGAATTGATTCTTATTCTTATTCAATCATACAATAAGAAACGCATTTTGTTTAATCATTCAGTTTATTTGTACGGACAATTAAACGATACATGTGTTGTGTACGAACTACATGAGTTTTCCTTAATTCTAATACATCGATATAATGTTTATATACTCGGGTGAATGATCATATTAGGCGATTACATACAGGCGATACGGATATGGATTAGCGAATATTTCACTTTCCGTTCGACGATACGATCGTGAACTACGTGGATGTGGATCCGAAGGCGACTGCATCAGAATGGCATGGATTTAAAGATCGGTATCATACCAGGCCGCGACCTGATTATTATCTTGCGGCGGTGCAGGCAGCTCTTCCAAATGATCGAAGCTCAAATCACCCTCGTGCGCCACGTCCATAGTGTCCATCGCACCATACGTCGATCCACCACCAATCTCCAATCCTTGCATTGAGTCTATTGGTATCTGGTCATAACCTGTTATATAAAAAAAATATCTTGTTTTGTAAACATTCTATTATTTATTGTTCATGCAATAATTACATCCATAAAAATTACACTGCACACAAAGTGCAGACTTTATTAATCAGTGAAGCACAATAACTTGAAAAGTGCTTTACAATTTTTTAATGTTACAGGATAAAATGTAGTTTGCTATGCGTCCTAAAAATAACTTTACATCTTCCTTTCTCTCTAGAAATTATAATCATATAAATTATATATATATATATATATATATATATATATATATATAATTTATGATTATAATTTACATATAATTATATATCACACTTGATGATTACTAATTAATTTATACAACATATTCTTGTATCATAAATCTACCTTATGCCAAGCTGTAAGACAAAAATTATTTAATAATCAAAGTAATCACTTATTAATAATATTAAATTAATCAAACAGATACACGTGGAATATATATACACGCATATATATATATATATATATATATATATATATATATATATATATAGACACACACACACACACACATATAATACATATGTATTCTTTTTTAATATATTTAAAAAAAAACCTTAAACTCTCTTTAGTTTCAATTACATAACAATGAAACAAGTGATATAATAATTAATATTACAGTTTTATTATATTTCATTGCAATGATAAGACAAACGAAAAGTATCACTATTAATACTTTTTAAAAAACAAGAAAGAATGATATTATCCATTTTTTTTTCAAAAAAATTAATGATAAATATTTATATAATAGTTCCTTTTGGAAAACAAACACTAGTAATTAAAAAATATCTTATTTAATCACTAACTAATTACTTACAAATATTATTCTCCTACATGTGTGACTCCTCTACTATAAAGTGCATATTACAGTAAAAGAAAAATAATAAAAGGGTAAATATGTGTATATGCAAAAAAACAAAGATGCCTGAAACAATATTATTACAGCACTCTACGCATACATTGAATGACACATTTTTAATTATGAATGAGAAAAGATAATTTGCAATGTAACATTAAACATGCAGCCAAAATCGATTATCGAAGATGTCAAATAACCAGATAATAAAAACAAGAACGATAGATAAAGATCAAATATCAAACCTATGTTACTGTGAGATACTGTTGATAGCCTGTATTTTAATTTAAGAGTCCATTGGTTAAGCTGCTGTTAAAATAACATACAATTAAATGCATTAATTTATATTAGAAGAACACTAAAAAGAATAGTAAACCATTTAATAATTTCCTTTATATATTTTTAAAATATAAAACACAGAGAATTGACTTATAAGATAGCATTATTACATACAAAATTATTCCGCTTTATGTATCATACACCGCCCATATGCAATTTATTATTACAATTATATTTATATATATATCGTTGCACCTCTCTTATGTTTTGTCTATTGACATCTGAATATTCAGATGTCAATGGTTTCGGTTTGACAGTTCTTTTTAATGGTCTTTGATATCCGCTCATCTGTACCTCTTCGAAGGTGATAATTTCCGAGCACGTTACTAAATTGTTGATCAAAAAGAATAGATATCTTGTGAAGAGTCTCCATCTTATCAAGTTTCGCGACTGCTATCATATGGATGTATCTCTCCGATGTTTCGTATGTTTTCTATGATTATTGCACAATATTTCTCTATTCTGCATTCTGTAGTCTTATTTCTCTATTAAAGTTGTATTAAGTTCCTTTTATAAGACAAAACATTGTTATTTTCGGCGTATTTATGAATAAGCGATGAATTGCGAGATTGATCAAGATCGACTCGTAGGCGCAACAATATATAATAAATACATTTTATGAAAGCAAAATGAGACTTGTTTTTATATATACACATTTCAAATTCCGTTTTCTCTACATTCGATCGAGTAATAAATCGAATATTTGGAAACAGCACATTCGATATAAAAATGAGATGATAATATTTATAAATTACCTTGCGGTTGATAACCTCGACCACCATGGCTGCTGTGTACACTAGGAGGTCCTTGGCCATACATACCATCATAGCCTTGATCAGGGCCAAGCATGTCCTGAAGATTAGGTAGCTTAGATCAACACAAAGCACATTTTCTAAGAAAGGCGTGTCATGACACCTCGAAATACGGACAAATATGCGCTATATTATAGGCAAGTTTCGTATGGTAATAATAAGGACTAAAAGAGCTTATGTGAATAATATAACGATACAAAAAAAAACAAATTTTAAATAAAACATCTGCAGAAGGGACAAAATGCATTCCCATGCACTTAATAATCGTACAAACTATAAATTAAGATTTTAAAATGTCTAAATGCATCTGCGATTTATTGCTCTATTAGACACACGATCGTCTCGCCTCTTTTCTTTTAAATAAATATTGATATAAAGATACGCGGAAATAACGTTAAATCTTGGATATTAATTATGTATAAAGCTTAAGCATAAAATTTAAGATGTAGCTAATATTAATATATATTAAAGTACATGCTTCTTTTTGCTTGAAAGAAATATACATTTCAAAAGTGTTCATAAAATAGATTTATAACTTGTCAAGCAATATAAAATTGCATGAAATTAATCTTGACATATTACATATATCTATCATTTTTGCAAATATAATAATAATAAAAATTTAAAGCGGAAAAATTGAAAGAGTCTGAACTAAATATTATATAGTACATAAATAAATGCACTTGCGAGTACACTAATGATGCAAATTTGAATTCATAGATAATGAGATTGTAAACATGATTTATAAACAGCTGTGCTCAAAATTAATTTTGCAAAAAAGAAACCTTTTACAAGGGAAACTTTTATGTAAATACCTGAATCTTATAACGAAAGAGATAGAGGGTGTCTCTCTCTGAGCAATAAAAAGTTTATTATCATAACGTGGCACAATTTACTAAACACAATGTAACCACCTAACTGTATGTAATATATTTTCATGCTATGATGTATTTCTGTTTATATCACATTACAAACCTGACTCCTGGCAAGTACTTGAAAATAACTACTTATAAAAGATAAAAATCTGCTTCTATATATACATATACATATATATACATATATAAAATTAAAGCTTGCTATGTTACATAGTGTTTGCAAGTAAATCTATTTCGCCACGGCAGACATAATTTTATGCACATTACTGTATCTATTTTTTACGATACCTGGAGATCTGGGGCCATGCTGAAGTCAGTATTGTTCCATAAATTTGTGTCTTCGCGGAATAAGGAATTCGTCAGCTCCATGGAAAGTCGTTTTTTGTACTCTTGGGGCTTATCTTCGCTCATGCGAAACAATACTGCTGCTGCATAAGTGGCAACACCTTCATTTCTAGAGTGAAGTAGTTCCGTCAGAGGAGCAGTAGCACCCTCTTGTTCTATTATCTCGGCACCTTCTTTGTCGGCTGCTAGTTCGCAAAGTACACCGGCTGCCACGCGTTGAATGTTTTCAATCTCATTAAATAATAACTGTATGAAAAAAAGCTGTATTAAGATTTTTCAAAAAATAGAAAAGATGATAGATACAGAATCCTTCCAATTTCTTTCATTATTCTTCCTATTATCTTGGATTAGCTGGAAATCGCTTTTTTAGATGTACATTTACTATGTGACTATAATCATGTGTAGATTACAGAAGCGAGTGAAAGATATAAAGCATATCGCGGCATTTCCATTCTGTGCATGTGATATTAAAATAGATTGAGAATTAAGGAACAATCCAAGAATAGAGAAATTTGATTCTGCACTTAAAAAAAGAATCGTTATAAAAATAGTGATACATACTTGTACGAAAATTGGAATCACGTTTTGTGAGCGAATTATCGCTCTATTATGGGATTCCCTTGCTAGAATATGAAGTGCTCCCACTGAACCTTCTACTATTTCCTCCATACGTACTCCATCTGCATATGCACCTGATGTCTGTTGGCTACCAGTACTAGCAACTGATGAACGTTGCTGCAAATAAAAAACATTAAAAAAGTTATATATGTTAAATTATAATAATGTATAATTATGAATTAGAAAAATATCTAAAAAGAGTATCTTCATGTAATAGTACAAAAAATAAAAGAAAGAGAATATAAATTAAATGATTGAAAAACTATATAATTAATACTTATAAGCATACACAAATGTATTTTATTTCAGTAAAAACTGCATAATTTATATTATAAAAAATACTATGTATATAGAAAAAATATTTTATATATAATAAATTTTATGTAATTCATAACTTACTCTCTGTGTGTCATTAAATGCACGCATTAAAAGTCTTATGAGATGATGTATTGCACCGTGATCGCGTAATGGACTGTGATTTGCAGGACAAAGAGCCAAATTGCGGATTAGTCCAATAACCGCCTTCACCAATGGCCATCGCGACGGTGGGTGAAGTAATTTAACTATAACTTGAATACCGTAATTCAATCGAACCGAGTTTTGCGCCATTTCTGCTTCATTGTGACGCGATGTCAAATGACGTAAAGCACATACTGCCGGTTCAGTTATCTCTTCTCGATCGCCGGCATTGATAATTGTACGAACGAGAGCGTCCACACCACCATAATTACACACCGCAACCTGAAAAATTTAGAAATCTTTATTTATATACTAGATATTATAAAAGATACTCGAAAAAGTATTTTTTTTATTTCGACATACTTTATTACGTTGATTGTTACAAGTCAAGTTTGATAAAATGCCAGCCGCACAAGTAACGACGTTCACATCCGTTGATCCGAGTACAAGAACGAGACTCTGCAACAAGTTATCAAGTCCATCAACTTTTGTTCCAGCATCCGATAGATTACGTAATGTCCATAAACAATTCTGCACTAATCTTTGACTCGGATTTGCGAGATGCATAGCAAGTGCCTGCATGCCACCTGCTTCTACGATCGCGGGCTTGTTACTCGGACATACAGATAATACTACAAACAAAGTGAATCGTTGATTAATAAAAGAGAATAAAATTTAATTATAATTCAACAAAAATATTATAATATATTGGTAATTTACCTTTCAACACCCTCGAAGTAGTCCATAACAGTTTCTCATATTCATAAGAGCGCATGATACGCACAAGTTCTATCGGACCTTGCGAAGCAAGAATTATTAATTTGCTCTCTTGATTTCCATATGCTAGAATTTGCAAGCAATCGGTAACAATGGCCAAAAATTTGACATTGTTTCGTTGCAATAAAGCAACCATTTTTTGCAAACCGCCAGCAAGACGTACAGCCATCTTGGAGCCATCTTGATGAAGCAATAAGTTATGAAGAGTTGTTATCGCATAAAAGAGAACAGATTCTACTGGAGAACTCAGCAGTTTCACAAGCGCGGGAATTCCACCGCTCTTAAAAATTGCTAGTAAGCCCTGTCTATGATGTGATAAATTGTGCAAGGTACCGACTGCAGCCTTTGTCGATTCTAAATCGTCGCTATTAGAAATGGCGCGCACTAAGGCAGCTACCATTTGCGAACTATTCATGATAGCATGGCGGGAAGCTTCTTTTTTAGATAACTGATGTACCATCATAGCTGCTTGAGAAACAACCACCTGATCCTCATCATTTAAAAGCTTGATTAATTCGGGAATAGCGCGCGTAGCGAGATCAGCATCATCCTGATAGTTAATCAAATTGACAACAGCATGCTTCAGCATTTGGCTTGGTTCGGCCAATCTTTGTACAGCGGTAGGCTGTGCTGGATCAAATTGTGTAGAAGGTATCTCTACACCTTCCTCTAGTGTTTCAGGAAACATAGCAGCACGTACACGTTGCGACCGAGTATGACTCAATTGTTGGTTCATCTCTGAAAGATCAATCATAATCGTAATGTACAATCTTTCATTTTGTATAGTAATAATTTAATTTTAAAAAATAATGTAATCTCTCTTTCACCATCAACTTGATCCTGTGTAAAACCCTGTGCAAATCCTTGGTCCAAATCAAACATTAATTGATCCCCTTCCATTTCTTCATCTTCCTTGCCGGACAAAGATGGTGCTTGAGTAACGGCGCCAGAATGGATGCCTGAATCATTCATATAGGAATTTTGCTGCCACATCAATGTCTGTTCTTTTGCGGAACCCATAGGCAAATCGCCTGGGCCCTGATAATTTCCTTGGGACACTGAAATTCAGACAAGTGTAAATACATAAACAACAAATTGGGCACATCTAATACGACAGATTGAATCGCATAAATAATCGACTTACTTGGTCTAGACTGATTCGACGACATTGGATAACTCATGTCTCCGAGGAATAGTTATCTCTGCGTCTGTAATGAATAAAATAGAACTCTACAAATTTCTAAACACTATTTTATCATGTAAATCATTGATCACAAGATTTGGATAGATATTTGCATTGAATTATGCAATAAGAAATGCTCGTAAGAATGCAAAGAGACTAGCGCGAAAAACGCTTCCATCAATGAGACCGAGTCACATAGAATTGTCGATTTCGATATTAATGCGTCACTCGAGATCTTTAAGAGTTAAAAGCAAAAAATGCCTGAAAAGTCGCGTTAAATTCGCATACCTTTGTCAAATATCTACTTGCGCGTGTCGATAGCGTTCGTGAGAATCTGTAATAAGATGCGCGACACTACGCTGGGTCAGTGAATCCCGTTCCGGCGAGATGTTCCAGCGCGGAATGTGGGCGCGATCGAAGAATCTCTCTCTCTCTCTCTCTCTCTCTCTCTCTCTCTCTCTCTCTCTCTCTCTCTCTCTCCCTCTCTTTCTGTATCCTCCCTCCTACCCTCTCTCTATCATGCTCGCTCACCGACTCGTTCTCGCTCTCGCACTCTCGCGTCCACAGCTTCAAAAGACTCGTGGGTGCTGCCGACTATGATCGAATATGCGTCGTGCCGTTGCACTCGGGTGTAGCCGCAAAATATGGGAGCGCGATGGAATGCAGAGAAGATGATGCATGCACCTATACCAGGACTATGAAAATGCAATGTGTCATCACTTTCTGACAATCGACAAGATTGTGAGGAGAGCGCGGCGGCGAAGGGAAAGGCGATTGATGTGTGTGTATGTGTGTGTGTGTGTGTGTGTGTGTGAGAAAGAGAGAGACAGAGAAAGTGGCCGAAAAGGATACATCACGGCACGAAAAGAAAGAAGGCTGACAAATGCACAGAATATGAAGCAGAAAAATGTCAAATGTTTCGTCAAATGAAAAGAATGCACCTCGTAGAGTTTTACTCGATATCGATGCGCATGTTCGTATCTAGTGATCGACTCGGAATCAAGTTCGAACCGATAATTCTTTGGACATGCCACTCTGCGTCTCTAGCACGAATTATCTCTCTATGCGAAAATAGATACATTCAATACGTAAACAAGCGCAACGCGCTATATTTCCGAACGAGTTTCAATTTCGTGCAATGACTTACTGTACCCACGACACGATTCCGCGGCTCGTCCAAGATGCACAAATTCTCTCTTGAAAAAGTGGGCAGTGTTGTTCTCGGAGACGCTCTCCCTCGCGCAAGCGCAACACAGTGGCAAGGAAATTCAGGGATGTATGTATGCGGCGTATAGGCGCAAAAATCTTAATATTTTATAATATTGATATAATTTAATACAGACATCAATATATGTATATATATTTTACAAATCTAAGAAAAATTTAGCAATTATCTCATATGTATCTCGAGGGAAATATATATTTCCTTTGGTTATTTTCAAATTGTTTCTAGAAATAGAGGATCCAAAAGCGCCCTTTTTCTTCCGGGTTGCTACTTCAATGAGGTCACATTCAACGCGCATGCGTAAAGGAAAGCGTCTCTGAAAACATTGAAAGTGGGAGGCAGTGTCAACGCCATCTGCCCTCGGATATGAACAAACTAAAATCGGTCATGTGACAAGAAGTTGACGCCATTGAAGCTATGCATGCGCGCATGTATAAACTATGTACACATATATATATAAATACATGAGGGAAGGTACATATTTTTATATCTGTCATCCACATAATTAATTTAATAATAGTAACTGACTGAATGTGATGGGGGATGTGTCGTTTGTTTAATAAAGTGCGTAAAAATGTTGCGTGACAAAGTGTATAACAAAATATGTAACCAGAGTTTTGCAAATGAGATAGATAAGATTCTCTAAATTGTCCACATATACCTATTTTACTTTTACAATGTAGTTATATATTACAACGATAGCAACGTAGTTAATAGAAAGGTTAATATAGAATGAATATATAGATGGAATAGGAGAATTTTCTATCTACTTGTGCAAAAAATTGTTAATCATATTTCAAATTTAGAAATAACAAGTGACAAATAACTTTGTTGAAATGCATGAATTCTAATCAGCAGTTTCCGAGATTAAATTCCAAGCTTTCGAAGATCGTGTCATGTGGTTCTTTTCCCACACAAATAAGCAAGTAAAGAGAGAAAAAAAATATGCAGAAAAGATGACTAATAGGTAAAGAATCATTTATATCCTGCTATTGAAAATATATATTTAACTTAAAAAAAATAATGTAATTAATAATAAGTTACAGATAACTGAATTATGCTAAATCAGAATTTGTGCACCTTGGACTTGTTACCTCAGATTATTTGCAAATCTTTCAGTGCAAGCAACAATAACTCGGCATTTTGATTAGTACTCGATTTGCAGCAATAACTCAAGAGAGAAAGAGAGAGCGAGAGTTTTTTTCTTTCCTTTATTAAACTTTCGAGCTAAGGAATACAGTACCACTGAAATGACCCACCAATGCTCTAAGCTCCGACAAAGGTTTTCTTCTTTATTCCGTCTTATTTAGGAACACAATATTACGATTTCCAACGTATTTCGCAATTTTTCTATTTGCTTGTGATCTCTCTTGCCTTTTTTTAAAGTTTAGTCTTGTTAAATGTTAGGCGCACACACACACACACACATCTAATCTTTCATTAAACTTAAAAATTTGACACTGTCCACTTCTTGACAGATATATAAGAATCAAACGCGTAATCACAAAACCGGAACCTGCTGATTATCAGTCAGCCACGAAACCACGCCACCACACGCTTTACTCCGATAAGGGTTTTACTATATTTAAAGATGGCGGAAAATGACGCGCAATCGAGCGACGCAGACGCCATCTGTCATTCGCGTCGATCCAGAATTACAACAGACCGATAGAACGGAGTATTTCTTTTCTCATCTTGACCTGCTGGGATATTCAACCGCCACTTCTTTGTACTTTTTTGTACGTTCAACTTTGATTCCATCACAGAACAAAGAAAAGACCATTCTCGAAAGAAATTATATATAAATAATACTTTTTTGACATGTCTATCAAACAGATTAATATTTTCTAATTGGAGAGAGAGAGAGAGAGAGAGAGGGAGGGAAATAAATACTAAAGTATTTTTAATAAAAATTTATACATTTAATATACACTGAGAAGAAATTTATTTGATTTAAACAAATTGACATGCATAATATGCATTACTTTGAAATATCAATAAAAAGTTTATCAAAATAAGTTCTTTTTATTAGTATAAATTGCAAAAAAATTGAATTTTTCATTAATTCAAAAAATAAGGCGTATAAAATATATTTATATTGAGATGAATTAAATGCAATGAATTGTTTAACGATAAATCACTTTTGTGATAATAACATATAGATTATACATACATTTTCTTAAATTTTCTTCATATAGGATGTCCGGAAAATGGCCCGCACTTCAGGAAGTACGCAGATTCGAAACCCAAAAAGAAGGAAAAAAAGCTGTATAAACATAAAAAATAAGTCATTTCCGAGTTGTAGCCACTTTTATGTTAAAAAAATCGTAATTTATAATCCGCTTAGCATTCCTTCTTTTAATTTTTTTTAAATTTAAAAATTTAAACTTAAATTTAAATTTAAAAATTTAAATATTTAAATTTAAAATTTAAATTTAAAATTTAAATTTAAAATTAAAAATTTAAAAATTTTAATTTCAAATTTCAAATTTAAATTTAGAAATTTAAAAATTTAAATATTTAAAAATTTAAATATTTAAATTTTTAAATTTTTAAATTAAAATTTTGAAATTAAAATTTTAAATTTTAAATTTAAATTTTTAAATTTAAATTTGAAATTTAAATATTTAAATTTTTAAATTTAAATTTTAAATTTAAATATTTAAATTTATATTTGAAATTTTAAATTTAAATATTTAAATTTAAATATTTATATTTCAAATTTAAATTTTAAATTTAAAAATTTTAATTTTAATTTTAAAATTTATTTTCAAATTTATATGTGTATATATATATATTTAATATATATAATTATGTTGTATAAATATATATATTATAAATCTTTATATATATATGATTGATATAGTTTTCCTCACAGTACGTGATATTATTATATTTTTTTAGAAAAAATAATGAGATAAAATTAACGTGTAAAATAAACATGTGTATAATGAAAAAATTCTTTAAGGTGATAGATCTCATAGCAAACGATTATGAATCTTAAAATACTTACATTTAAAAAGTTAACTGATTAAGATATTTTTATAGAAACAAAATCATTCTTTTATTAATTTATAACAAAATTATTTTCTAATCTAAAATCTTTTTATGATGGTAAATATATAACGATCGTTAATGTTTCTGCTTTAATTAAATTACAATGAGAATTTTATAATTTTTAAATTTTTTTGAAAATTTTGCGTACGTATAAGTAATTATTTTTGCATAAACATACAATAACGTATTATAACATTCTCAGTACATTTTACAATTACATTTTACAATTACATCATCACAATGTCTTCAAATGTCAAAACGTAATATATTATAAAATATGCAAAATCGTATTAACTTTCTTTACTGATGTTAGTGTCGATTGTGTTATTACTTTATCGCATTACTTTGAAGAAATGTCATATAGGAAAACAAGAAAGCCAAAAACTATTTTATCAAAAAATACAAGCTACAAAAACATAGACACATTTTCTTCATCATGAAATCGTGTAAGTGGCGACTCAATGCGTACGTGTATGGTGTACGTATACGTATTTATTTAATCACATGACACGCCTATAGCTCGCAACTTAATAAACAAGCGGCGTGTCGGATAAGAGGAATCAGGTGCGGGAGTAAAACGTGAGATGCAAGAAGGTAACAAGCGAAAGAAGACACGCAGATTTGTCAGATACGCAACGACATCCTCTTCGCATGCAAAACAAATATTAACGTTTGCCATTCCATCGAGAAACAATCATCACGCGCGCAACTCGAAAGCAATCGCAGTTCGATCGACAGCAATTTTTTAATGGATTCGCGAGTATTTGTCCGGTCGTGCGCGCGACTCGAAAATTCCTGATCGAACTCGGCGAGTAAATCGTGCCGGGCGGATGGCCAGAATGCGCACAAAATAACAGACATTGGAGAGCAAAGTAAAATATACTGGCCGTTTGGCGGGACCACCATTCGTTATCGGCTGCGCCCACGCCGATTAATTTTCGGATGCGTGATGGCGGTAGCGTTCCTTCCGTTTCGAACGGTGATGATACATTTTATGTCTGTGCTGATATTGAGCGGATAACTGAAAAAAGTGGAAAATTTTCCTTTGAAATATACGGCAACCAGCCAGTGAAATACAGCCGCGAAACGTGCGATAAATCCGCGCGGATTCGTCGCCGTAATTAATGATAAATATCATCGATTAAATTTTTTTTATAAACAAATTCGCTTGAAATGTGTTGGATGAAATGCGGCATTTTTAATTATTACACAGACATCGATGATCGATGCATATCAGTGTTTTATATACGATTCTGTTTTTGTCGCTTTTGCGATAAAATATGTATCGTATTGTTTTCAAAACTTATAAAAAATACTGTAAAACTAACATTTTATTCTAACAATTCGTCAAATGTAAAAAGAAGATAGATTTAAATTTTATCTTTGATTGAATTGGAGCAACGATTCGAATGCTCAGGTTGGTTTGCTTCGTAAAATAGAATTATAATTATGAGAAGTAACGGTAATCCATAAGACGGTAAACATCAAATAATAAAACAAAATATTTATCAAGATATTTATCAAAATATTTATAAAGATGTTCCTTCGATCAATGATAAATTTAGCGAATTTATGCAGCGCTTATTGAGCGCTTTCGCACGCAAATCCTTTCCTTTTCTCATCCCAATGAAAAAATATTTGATCGAAAAGATTTTTCATAGCGAATACAAAATTACACAGTTATTAACGAATGAAGTATCATCAAGCCAGGGAAAGGCATTTTGTGACTTATAAACAACGTCTTATTTGAGAGAATAAAATTTGATGCGACGCCCTGATAAGTGTCGATAATATGCTAATGATTTGATGGTAATTGGGAATTTCAGTTTTAATTGTCGAAAAAAAAACCACGACATTCGAAATTGGAATAGATCGTTAATCATCGATGTACGATCCATGTATCCTAAATTTTACGAAAGTGAATCTTTTCGCAACTTGCATACATACATTATGTACATTATATTATCTTTAGTTTTTTTACATTTCTCTATTTTTTTTTATATTTGCTTAGTTACTAATTTTTTTCCTTTCATGTATTATATAGATACTTTTTATCTGTTTCGTTTTTCCTAAATATTTGTATTTATATTATAGATTAATTATTTTTGTATATCACAATATAACTCGTTAATAAATATGTGAAACAGCACATATTACATATAAAAATAAATACATCTAAGAACAATTTTATCCTTTATGTGGTAAAAAAATTTCATTGGATTTAATACGCGAATGAAAAAAGTATAAAACTTTTCTTCACGAAAATGTGCAAATACATTATTGAAATATTTATATATATATATATATATATATATATATATATTTATTTACTTATTCTGCTAGATAACATATCCAATAAAATTTGAAATATAAAAGAAATAATTATATAAAATATTAAATACAAAAAAAATTTCGCTTTGATCTTGTAAAATTTTGTGTAAGTACAATATTGTATTGATAGATAAATACTCTTTTTTATGATAATTCTCTCTCTCATACACATACGCGCATGCACGCACACACACACACACAGAAAGAGGAAGCATAGATTTGTAAACGTCTACTGCCATATCAATACGATTCGGAAATTGCATCCCCAATTTAATTTAATTATTACTCTCTACTATATACTATCTCTATCTCATACGCGTGTATACACACAAAAAAAGAGAAAGCATTTTTATACGAACGTATTTTCTCGTGGGCTTTATTTATTTATGAGTCTATGAGGAAGGAAAAGAGAACGATCTATTTCACGCTTCTTCGTATCGTGTGTACTCTTCTTTCATTCAGATTGATAAAATTATACCTTTGGCTTATTTTAAATTCAATATGATGATATGATTCGATATGATTCAATATGACACAAAGCAAAATCATTGTTTGTTACTGTGCATTTTTGCATTTTTCGAGAACATGTTGATAATAATTATCGAAAAGATATGATAACTAAAGTACTTATATATCATTTTGTATAATATATTGCAATTGTATAATTCACACGATAATGCAATCTCATTTTATTCCAATTTATTTCAAATTTTAGAAATTAATATTGGACGAACAAAACTTGCAAGTAACACATACATGCTTATAAATAAAGTTCTAATAAATTATTACATAATGCAATAACTTGGGCAATGAAATTTTGTAAAAGAGAATAAATTATTTCAAATTGATTAACAATCTGTCATATAATGATATATTTATGCATATAAAATATAAAGCGATTAAAGATAAAATTAAAAATATGGAGAATTAATTATCTATTTATTAAATTAGGAATAATGAGAGAGAGAGAGAGAGAATATCCAAATTAAATTAATGCAATCCAAATCATCAATCGTATTGATGTGGCAACAAGCGTTTAAGCTTGTAAAGATGTAAAATCAATCCTTCGAAGCTTTTTTTCCAAATGAGATATTCTCCACCATATTTTTCTTTAATGCTATAGTATTCTTCGCAACAAAGATGCGGTGTGACAAACTAACCAAGTTGGCATTACCGGGTAGATGTTTGCTCAACAGTATATCTCTCCACCTACGCATTGCTGCACGAGCGTTTACGTCTGCATAAATTTTCATTTAAGTTTCGCGATAATAATGATTTTTTCGATCATTTAAATACAAAGATGAAGATGTGCGTTTGTATAATTCGTTAATTGAAAATTGTTTTAATAACAACAGGCAAATGTTTTACAAAAAAGCATAACGGAATGTATACGTTTATTAATAAAAAATATGCTATTGCTTAAAATTTAATAACATTTAATAATATGTTTAATAAAATATATATTTTCTTTATCAAATGTTGAAAATGCAACTCAAATCACATTGATATTTATTAGCTTAATAAGAAAATAGACAATTAAGAATTAGCGCATATGAGCCTAGTTGAGAAAATTAAGCATATATTATATGTGACATATTACGCGCATTTCTTTATATGTATAAAGCAGATGATTTATACATTACATAAATTTTATACATATAATAAGATACACCGCGTTTTAATTATATGTATTTTCGAAATCTATACCAATATGTTTTGTCTAATTGTAAGATTCGTACAATGCTCATATTTATGTATTGTATATGAAAAAGAAAAGAAGATATAAAGCGCTTATTTATAGCTCTTAATCACATAATATAAGAATATAAATCTTTTCCTTTATACATATTCTTTCGAAAACGTAAATTAATTATAATCTCCATAGTATTTTAGAAATTTCAAAGATAAAAAAAATTATTTACGGAAGAATAAAAGGAAATT